TCCAGAACATCACCGCCCGAGTTGCCGCTCTGGAGACAAACCCATCGCGTCCAGCATCGGCGCGAAGCGTGGCAGCCGCATCAACGGGGACGGCAGTGGAAGCAAAACTACGTGAATTGGAAACTCAAGTTGCTGCGCTACGACTTTCACCCAACCAGTCCTCGGCGGTAATGCCTAGTGGCGAAAAACGTCACCCCGCCGGAATCTATGGGAACCTGGGTGGTTTTGTTTCGCTTTCTTCGGCTACCACGCGGTTGAAAGAGCAGTTGCAGACCTGCTCAGGTCCGCGGCCGCACTACATCTACTCCGAAGGGGAATTCTCTAACATCGTATTCGCCGCATTTGGAGATGCAGTTGAAAGAGATACTTCCGTTGCTCATTTCCGAAGCGCTGCCCTGCAGCGCGGTGGAAGGAATGTCTGGGCTACCTAGGACAGGCCCGCTTCAGCTCGGGCGGCGCGCAATTGCTGTTTTGGTGTCAAATACCTTCTCAAGAACAAGTTCAATATCACATGACAGAGAGGGGGGTGGACCAAGAACCTCACGCAGTACATGTCGGAGGGAAATTGGCGTTGACCGCGCGCGCCAACAACGACGACATTATCCCGCAGTGGGAGGGGGAATGGCATAATTGGAAAGAGTTTCAGGAGCCCCTGGATCCTCGAGGTATCTTCGATAAGTGCAAGGGCGTCGTTGAGCGCTCTTCGCAGGGATTGAAAGGAGGAGGCAGGGGGCCCTACTGGGGGCCGCGGCCGGTGTCGACCAAATCCGACACCGAAGTTGGCGATGCACAAATAATTCGTTCCAATTTCTGCATTCTTTGGGCGACGTTGTCCATTGCTCTCTCCAGAGCCCCGCGACGGAAGTCGCGGCCGTCGTCGGCAACGCGCTGGGCAGCCCGCGACGGCCCCCATACGTGCCGATTATTTTACGGGAGCCGCGGGTCAGGGCAAAGCTACTTCCGTGCCAACCCGACCTGTGGAGCCACTCGACGTCCCCAGTCGTTGGAGACATCGTTCCGGAAGCACATGGGGATGCACCAAACGCAGTTGCAGGCCGCTTGCCAGTCAAGTTCTGGCGACGTGGGATGTGGAAGGTTTGGGAGGATATGTCACTAGATTACCTGAACTGCTTCATCATATGATTCGCCTCGACATCGACATTTTGTGCGTCCAAGAGACGGGCGTCACCGAGACGTCCCGCTTCGTGGGCAATGGCTTCGTAGTTATCCTTTTCAGGGACATCGGAAAATCAAGATGGGCGCTTCTATTCGGCGTCGGCTTCATAGTTGCACCGCGCGCAGTCCCAGACGTGATCAGGTTCGAGCTCGCGTCTGCCAGGCTTGCTGCGTTGAAGAAGAAGGTGCATGGCCGGGTTCTTGCGGCCATGAGCTGTTGCGCCCCGCACGCGGGACATAGTCTTGAAGATCGGCGAGATTTCTGAGATTCACTTGCGAGCGCGCGGCAGCCCGCAGGCAAGCGCAACGCGACAATCGCAATTGGCGACTTGCATGCGAAGCTCTTCGACAAAGAGCCGGGAGAAGACGCCGTCTTAGGCGATTTTGTCTTCAAGTCGAAGTTGCCGAAAAAGCGGGAGAGAACAGGGACTTGTTCATCGAAATTTGCCGGGCCAGCGAGACGAAGGTCGCCAGCGCGTTCTTCGATTTGCCTGGCGACCAGTTGATGGCGCACTATTCGCCGCAGGCGCAGAAGATGGGCGCCGTCGACGCGGGAGGTTACGCCCAGAGCGACCGCTGCTTGGTGGGCGCCGGCGCGCTGTCTTGGATTCGGAGTCTGAGGCTGGACATAACTTAGAACCATTCCGTTGGCAACCAGGCGCTTCCTCCTGCAGCTGCGTCTTGGGCTGTCTCTGGATGCCTCTACGCAGCCACCGCCGCGCAGAATGGCAAACTGTGACCGACGAGGGCGCCCTGCAAGGCTTCCGTAGCACAGTGGGAGCACAGCTGCGCGCACACTGGATCAGCACGCCGAGAACGTGCGACAAGCCATGGCGTCTGCATCAGGTGAGCTGGCAGACAGACAGGCCAGGAAGACCAAAAGACCATGGATAAGCCAATCCACGCTTGATCTACTCATGGAGCGAGATCAAATCAGAACCACTGGCAGCCCAAACAAGGAGACAGTCGTCGCGAAGCGCATCAGGGCATATGCGAAGAAAGACAAGCAGCGCTGGCTGGACGACGAACTCGCCGGCGGCAACTGGGCAGCAGCGCGCGGCCTCCGGAAAGGGCCCGCTAGAAAACCCGTTCAGATGCGCGACGCTGCAGGGCGCCTGGCGGAGAGCAGCGCGCGTGCAGACGCGACGGCGGACAACTTCGAACACTTGCAGTGGAAAGTGACCCACCCCGAATTCGCGCCGACCAGGGCCTAGGAGATGGGCGCCACGTTGCCGATCAACACGAGCCCGTTCGACATGGATGAGCTCGCCGCTGCTTTGACAGCCCTCGCCGTGGGAAAAGCACCCGGGCTGGGCGGCGCTCGCCCAGGACCATGGAAGACGTTGTTGCATTCGCAAGAGGGCTTGGAAAAGCTCGCTGCCATTGTGCCAGAGGTGCTAGGGGAAAAAAATATACCGGACGAGTGGCGCACCGCGCGGGTGGCGCTGCTCTTCAAGAAGGGGGGCAGCAGCCTCCCGGAGAAATACCAACCGACATCTCTTCTTCCTATCGGCTACAAGATTATCGCCTGGATGCTACAATGACGGCTCCAGCGAGGCGGCGCAGAGGGCAGACTGAGACAGACGCAATTTGGCTTCAGACCAGAGAGAGAGGCACGGCGCAGGCGATATGTTCGCGGCAGCCCATGCTTCGAAGTCGCCCTGTCTCGTGGCGATCCTCTTAGACTGGGCGAAGGCGTTCGACGGGATCAAGCGCGATGCCATGCTGCGGGCTTTGCGGAGAGTCGGAATGCCTGACCGCATGGTGGGCATGATTGCCGGCATCTACCGCAAAAGGAGTTCCATCCTCCAGGGCCCGGCCGGGGACGCCAGCGTGCGCAGGCAACGAGCCGGCATCGCTCAAGGTTGCCCATTGTTGCCATATTTGTTTATCATAGTCCAGGCCGTGATGTTCTTCGATGTCGACGCGCGGATGGTGGGCGAGCACCTGGCAGTGCAAGGAGCCGGACTTCATCCCATGCGCTGACTTGCTCTACGCGGACGACACGATGCTCACCAGCAGCTGTTCGGTCACTGACGAGGGGAAGTGGCACGGGCTAGAGCTGAATCGGACAAGAAAAGGACAGTCCTCATGAGGAATCGCAATGCTGATTTTTTCGGATACCCGCGCGGGGAGCCGTTGTCAGAGGTTGAGCAAGCAGTATACCTCGGTGGTCTTCTCAGCACGACTTGCACTGCAAGGCCTGAAGTCACGCGAGACTGGGAAAAGCCATTGGAGTTTTCAAATCCCTTCAGAATTGCTGGTCGCACGCGAACATCACCCGATCAAGGAAGCTCAAACTCTATCGATCCACTGCGGTACCGAAGCTGATGTACAACTTGGAATCTGTCTGGGCCCTCAGGGCCGACATGGACAGAGTGAATGCGTTCCACCTGCAATGCCTTCGTAAGATTTGCCTTCCATGCGCCTACGTCTTGAGAGTGTCGAACCGCAGCGTGCTGGAGCAGACGGGAGAGCATGATCTGAGCGAGGACCTTCTCGAGCGCCAGAAGAATCTCTACAATTCAATTGCGGCGCTTCCACAGGATCACCCACTACGCAAGCTGACGTGCAATTCCAACTCTGTGGCGCCGAGAGTCTGGGATGAGAGCCGCGCGCGCGGGAGGCCCAAACAGCAATGTGCACCCTGCGTCTACGCACTTCTGCCTTGACAGTGATGCCAGGCCTCGCGCATGTTGGTTTCGATGTCCCCTCCCTTCCCTTCCTTCCCTTGCCTCTCTTCCGGCCTCCCGTGTCGTTTTCCTCGCTTCCCTCGCTCCGCCCTCCCCCCCCCCTCCTTGTCGTCGTCGTTGTCGTTGTCGCTGTCGTACATGGCCACACCGCATGGGAAAGCTCAGCGGCCAAAGCCTTGTCAGTGCACATCTGCACGGCAGGTGCACCCGGATACGTGCGCCGGGATTCTTCATCGCATTGCCAGTGCACATTTGCACGGCATCTTCTCTGCCGATGCGCCGTCGAGGCGCGTGGCTCCTGCTGCTGCTGCTGCTGCTGCTGCTTCGCTCCTTCCAGAGACAGCTTTGTCAATTGTTGAATGCAAGCGATCGGCTTCTCGGCTCCCGGGGATGCGCGGGCTCCCTCTCTCAGTGTCTGGTCTCCTCTCTCTCTCTCTCTCTTTCTCGCTCTCTCTCTCTCTCTCTCCCTCCCGCTCTCTGTTGATTTTTGTTTTGTTGTTTTTTTCCTCTCTCTCTCTCTATCTATCTTTTTTTTGTCTCTCTCTCTCTCTCTTTCTCTCTACCCCTGTGGGGCAAGCATGTCTGGGTCAAGCTGGTCCACCCTCTTTGGGGGCCCACAAGGGCCCCCACCCGCCCTGTGCTTGACAGGTTCCCGCCGCCACATGCACAGTAGCGCGGCGACGGACGCCCGCTACGCGTGGCGGAAGGGCGGTGGCGCGCGTTGCACATTTTGTGCCAATCCCTAATCGTCACCGTTTGACGCCGATGCCGCCTGGTTTCCCCCTTCCCTGAGGCGTACCACTGTGGTCCGATCTCTTGGAGTCAGGGGGGGCTTTCCGAGGAGCCTGACACCGACGTCGGCTGCCTTGAGCCCCTGCTCGGGTGCCTGCCTGGGTTTTCTGTTGGGGCCTTCGGTGCCGTCTTGAAGATCCCTTGGGCCGCTGTGGCGGCGTGCCGTGGCTTCCGTTGGACTGTTTGGGCGGTCCACGTCGAGGGGGCCAGGGGTCCCGTTCATGGGTTTTGGTTCTCGCGAAGACCCCCCTCCCCCTCACAATGTCGCAGCGCAACCCCCAAGGGACGGGCCGGGGGAAATGGGCCCAACGCGCTGGTGACCCGAAGAGGTCGGCGCAGTCCAGTGCCAGCGCGGGTGCCTGCACGGAAGAGCTGCCGCACGTCCGTGGAGGGCGACGAGTGCTTCGCGAGGGTGGTGTGGTCGATGCAGACGGGCGTGGTAAAGTACCCAGAGTGGTTCTGGAAAAAAGTTGCATAAATATTATGTTTCAACGGTCCGAACGGATTTCTTGTATGCGTGAAGGCGGCGCCTGCGGCGCCGCTGTTGGCGCACAGAAAGGGGGGTCGAGCGCAGATCCAGGAAATTCGCGCGGACCGTCGGAAGTGTATGTTTATGCAGTTCCTTCGTCCTTGCAGGTTTGCTCCCCTGACCGGCAGATCCAGCTTCGAGGCCTTCCAGCGGCACTTGCACGGCTCAGCCAGGCTTCGTTGCGTGATATCCGACCCAGAACCAAACCTCAGGGTCGGTTTTGGAGGTCGCCGCGGCGATCGCCGCGGCCACACATCGGGGCAATGTTCTTGCCAAGGAGCGGCGTGCCCTCTCCCAGCTGCCCCCTCGCTTTGCGATGTAGACATGGCTCGAAATACGAACAATCGGCAGTTATGTTTTTTCTAGGTCGGGGGTCGACTATCACGCGACCAAGGTTTTCCAGCGTGTGCCCCGAGCCCTGTGGAGAGCCATCGGAGCGGGTCGTGGCCGCACCAGCACACGCGTCTGTCTTTCCTGGGTACGAGCTGGTCGGGAGCAATTGCTTGTGCGGGAACAAGATAAAGGGCTTCAGCGATGAGCACGAGACCCTTGAGCTGTGCGCGTCTGAGTGCAATTTGTACCCTCACTGCATGGCCATTGGCTTGCATCCGCCAGAAGATGCCATGTGGGGTGGCCACTGCGACCTGTACGACGCTCTTTGCCCTGCCACGGACGGGCACGATGCGAACACCACCTGCGCCAATCCCCTCACAGTGGCCGCCCTCAGTAATAACTACAACAAGGTGCCGACCCCCTCGCCCACGCCTGTTCCACCACCTCCCGCAGTCGTCTGTGATGTTATCAATGGTTCTTCTCCGAGTTCTCAGTATCCGTGTCAGTGCGATTCCTCTGTGTGCGAACTCAATCAGCTTTGCTCCGCAGGCTCATGCATGCCCATGTCGGTTCTGCACGTGCAGTGGCCGTGCTCGAACCCTGGGATTGGCAACCCGTACTTCAGCCTTGCCGGAACAAGTCAGACAGGAGCCCCAATCTATTCCAACGCCGATGGCAATTCTATCTATTGGGACGCTTCTTGTGACGGGTACGTGCGTGCAGGAGATGATCGCGTACCTAGATGGATCCTTGATCAGGGGGTACCATCATTGGATGCTGACATGGATCTAGACCTTGATGGGCAATGTTCCTATTTTGGGCACACTGGCTCTGATGACAAGTATGGTGTCCCCTTGGGTGACTCAAACTGGACAGTTTTTTGCGATGGTGCACAGCTCACTGCGACGGTAGCGATCACGATGCTGCACGACATGCCTGCGACCGCGACCCCAAGCCCGACGTTAGAGCCTGGAGTACCCTGCGCTTGCGAGGGACGATGTGGAACATTTCCCTATATGGACGTCGATGGTGACGGTTGCCTTTCTCAGGCGGAGACCGATTTGGTGGAGCAGCTCGCGGGGCACTTTACCGAAATGGATGCGGATGAGGACGGCTGCGTCACCCAGGATGAGTGTGCGGCGTCGGATTTCTCTGCAGATTTGCCCACCTTCCCGATCCAAGGACCAGCTCACTGTGACTACGGGTGGTGCTTTATGCCAGGCACCAGCGTTTGCGTGGTATGTCCCAATGGGGAGACGAGGCGGCGTCGATCGGAATCGTGCACCGACTGCCCCGCCGGCAAAACGGACGTCGGAGACTTTGACAACTGCATCGGCGGCATCTACCTCCTCCAGCCCATCGGGGTGGGGGGCACCGTCGCCTTCGTCAACACCGACACCGACGAGTCCGGCTACGTGCTGACGAAGGGCGACTCGATCAACATTGCGACGCGCAACCCCGGCCATTACGAGGTCAGAGGAAGAGTTAACGGCATAACTATGATGTCCCAGAACTCCGCGCGGATCTCTTGGATCGGCGCTCGGGCCACCCTTGCGGCGTCTCCGGCGCCGCCGTTGGTGCGCTCCGTGCGCCATCGAGGGGGATCCAGCGCGAATCCAAGAGATCCGATCGGAGCTGCGAAAGTTTACCCGGAAGCGGGATACGCCTGACGCGGACGCGCCCAGCCTGGGCGAGAGCTGGGTACGCACATGCGTGGCTGGACGCAGGAGGGGACGAAGCACACAGGCACAGTGAATCGTCGACCCCGGGGAAAACGGGAAAATATGGAAGTGGGGGGGAAGCCGTGTAGGCTATAGGGTTCGGCACGCAGCTCCGACGCGTGGCCTCCGGATGTTTTTCGTGTGAGTCCAGCCATGCGTGTGTTCCGGCTTCTGGCATGCTTCTTGATGCTGTTCTCGGGGGCGGCCAAGAGGCGGTGATGACCAGGGGGGGGGGAATGATGTCGTGGCCGGGGCCAGGGTACCTCCCCGGATCTCATGGCGCCTCCTTTGGATTCCTCCACTGCGTCCTCAGGGCCCCGCCATGGGGCCCCGCACGTGCCTCGTGCCATGATCTGCGCCCCCCCCTCTTGGACGCCCCGCCCCTCCCCTTGGACGCCCCCGTCCCTTGGACGCCCCGACGTTCCCTGGCGAGGTGGCAACGATCCAGGACAAGATCGGCTTCGACTCCAGCCGGCGGCCCTCGCCCGCCCACGAGGCCCTGGGCCCCGCGCAACGGGGGGGGGCGATGCATGGAGGGGCAGCGAGGGCTGCCGCCAAAGGGGCCCTCTCGGGCCCCATCTTGGGGCCCTCTCGGGCCCAAGGGGGGGCCTTCGGGGGCCCAGAGAGGGCACCTTGCTTCCCCCCTCCCCCCTCCCCCTCCGCTTGCCGCCCCCCCTCGTTGGTTCGCGCCCAGAGGCCCTGCTCCGCAGCAGCGGCCCCTTCTTCGTCCTGGAGGAGGGGGCGCGCATGCCCTTCGAGACCTACGACGCGGTCACCCTCGCGTGCAGCGCGGGCGACGGGCGCACCTTCTCCAGCAACTACCCGTGCGGATGTGGCGTCGCCGTCTGTCAGTCTGGAGAGAGGTGCTCCTCCTGCTCCTCCTCCTGTTTTGACGTTGCGCGGACCAAGTTCAACAGCATGTGTCCTCCTCCTCCTCCTCCTCCTCCTCCTCCTCCTCCTCCTCCTCCTCCCCCAAAAAGAGAGGTTGCGGGTAGTCTCAGAGGAGAGGGCTCAGTTCGACTCTTCCGATTCGATTCGATGTCGACAGATTCCGATTCCGATGGAGTTCGATTTCGGATTGAGATTCGGATTCCGACTTCGCAACGGGGGCCTTGCTGGCCATTTCTGCCGATCCGATTCTTCCCGACTTGGCTGCCGATTTCCGCCGATCCGATTCATTTCGATCACCGCTCCGACTTCGCGATTCGATTATGGCCTCTCCGGGAGAAGGAGAAGTGCCCTTACTGCTACCCTTCCCCGTTATCGCCCTTGTCGCCACGGCTGGACTCGCCTCGAAATTCTGGTCATAACGCACCCCAGGAGAGGTCCAGAGAGTAGCGGTATCAGTACCTATTGGTCTCTCCAGAGGTGCGATCTTTCTGAGACATCGGGCTTTGGGAGCGCTGGGCTTTGCATTCCTGGGCCCGCCGGGGCTCCCCTGCCGACGCCTGCCCCGACCATCTCTGCCCGGGGCGACCCGCACCTGGTCAACCTGAACGGGGAGCACTTCGACGTGAACCACGGGGGCGAGTTCACTCTGCTGCAGATCCCCCAGACCACGAGGCGTCGTGTGTGTGTGTGTGTGTTCGTATGTTTGCGCCTGTGTGTGTATATGTTTGCGCGTGTGTGTATATATATATATATATATGTGTTTGCGCGTGTGTGTGTGTGTGTGTGTGTTTGCATTGTGTGTTGTGTGTATGTGTGTGTATGTGTGTGTGCGCGTGTGTGTGTGTGTGTGTGTGTGTGTCTGTGTCTGTGTCTGTGTCTGTGTCTGTGTCTGTGTCTGCGTCTGCGTCTGCGTCTGCGTCTGTGTCTGTGTCTGTGTCTGTGTCTGTGTCTGTGTCTGTGTCTGTGTCTGTGTCTGTGTGTACGTGTCTATGTATGTATATATATATATATATATATATATATATATATGTATCTCTCTCTCTCTCTCTGAGTAGGCCGGGGGGGGGGGCCAAAATCGCTGCCGTCATCCCCCAGGGGGGCCCCCCCGAACTTTTGGGGGGTCACAGACCCCCCGGGACTGCCCTGGGCCGCTTCCAAATTGCCCACGACAGGCCACGCGGGCCGTACAGATGGTCACGAAAGCCTAAAGAGGCCCCGAACACGCCCAAGAGCGCCCCAAGAGGGCCCGTGAGGGCCCCAAGAGGGCCTTCAAGAGGCAAACATTCGTCGCCCATGTCCCTCGTAAAACCTGCATTTTCGGCATACTCGCTGGCTTCGTCTTCACAGTGCCCCAGACGCCCCCGCGGAGCCCCAACACAGCCCAAGAGAGACCCAAGAGGGCCCCAGACGGCCCAAAAGGGTCGGCCTGTGGGGCTAACGGAACCCCCCAAGACGGCCCAAGAGGCCCCGAAGCCGGCCCAGGAGGCCCCCAAGACGGCCTCAGGGAGGCCCAAGAGGACCCCGTTCGAAATCATGTTCCAGGAAGCCTCTCCGGGAACATTACTTCCGGGCTCCCAGGGCCCCCCACTGAGCCCCAGGACAGCCTCAGCGAGGCCCCAGAGGGCCCGAGATGGCTTGAAGATGGATGGCCGAAGAGGGCCCCAAGAGGGCCTTCAAGAGGCTAACATCGGCCCATGCCCCTCGTAAAACGTGCATTTTCGGCATACTCGCTGGCTTCGTCTTCACAGTGCCCCAGACGCCCCCGAGGAGCCCCAACACAGCCCAAGAGAGACCCAAGAGGGCCCCAGACGGCCCAAAAGGGCCGGCCTGTGGTGCTCACGGAACCCCCCAAGACGGCCCAAGAGGCCCCGAAGCCGGCCCAGGAGGCCCCCAAGACGGCCTCAGGGAGGCCCAAGAGGGCCCCGTTCGAAATCATGTTCCTGGAAGCCTCTCCGGGAACATGACTTCCAGGCTCCCAGGGCCCCCCCACTGAGCCCCAGGACAGCCTCAGCGAGGCCCAGGAGGGCCCGAGATGGCTTCAAGATGGCCGAAGAGGGCCTTCAAGAGGCACAAATCTGCCCATTTCCCTTGTAAAACGTACATTTTCAGCATACTCCCTTGCTTCGTCTTCGCAGTGCCCCAGACGCCCCCGCGGAGCCCCAAGACAGCCCAAGAGAGACCCAAGAGGGCCCCAGACGGCCCAAAAGGGTCGGCCTGTGGGGCTAACGGAACCCCCCAAGACGGCCCAAGAGGCCCCGAAGCCGGCCCAGGAGGCTCCCAAGACGGCCTCAGGGAGGCCCAAGAGGGCTCCGTTCGAAATCATGTTCCCGGAAGCCTCTCCGGGAACATGATTTCCGGGTTCCGAGGACGCCCAAGAGGCCCACAAGACAGCCTCAGCGAGGCCCAAGAGGGCCCGAGATGGCTTCAAGATGGCCGAAGAGGGCCCCAAGACGGCCTTCAATAGGCACAAACAGCCCGTTCCCGTAGTAAAACGCACATTTTCAGCATGCTCCCGTGCTTCGTCTTCGCAGTGCCCCAGACGCCCCCGAGGAGCCCCAACACAGCCCAAGAGAGACCCAAGAGGGCCCAAGACGGCCCAAAAGGGTTGTCCTGTGGGGCTGACGGACCCCCCCAAGACGGCCCAAGAGGCCCCGAAGCCAGCCCAGGAGGCTCCCAAGACGGCCTCAGGGAGGCCCAAGAGGGCCCCGTTCGAAATCATGTTCCCGGAAGCCTCTCCGGGAACATGATTTCCGGGTTCCCAGGACGCCAAAGACAGCCCCAGAGGCCCCAGACACGCCGAAGATGGCCTCAGGACGGCCGACGACGCCGCCAAAACGCCCCAAGAGCGCCTCCAGAGGCCCCTCCAAAGGGCCCCAGAAGCCGAACATCATAGATTTTCCAATGGTTTTTGAAGCATTCTTGCGCTCTACTACGTTCCGCCTCCCCACGGTCCCGGACCGCGTCGGAGGCCCTTCAGATCGCTACAAGACGGCCGAAGGGGCTCCCAAGAAAGCCCAGAGACGGCCCAGGAGGCTCCCCAGATAAGTCAAGAGGGCCTCGAGAGCGCCCCAAAAGAGCCCCAAGAGCGACCCAAGAGGGCCCGAAGAGCGCAACATTTCGAGATCTCTGGCCTGAGAGGCTCCTAGGACGCCCCCGGAGGCCATCAAGAGGCTCCCAAGAGGCCCCCGGAAGCCCCAATAGGCCCCTAAGGGACCCCCAGGAAAGCCCCCTGCGGGCCCCCAAGACACTTCGGTAAATCGTGTTTCCCAGATAGCTTTCCGGGAACATGAGTCCTTGGGCTTCGCCCACCGCCCCAACCATGTTTCCAATAGGCTTGCCGACAAGGCCAAAAGGCGCCCCTCGGTAAGCCCCCAGAGGCCCCCCACTTAGAGAGCCGAACAAATCATACTCCCGGAAAGCTTCCCGGGAACATGATTCTCTATCTCGGAGTAGGCCCGCGGGGGGTGGGCGGGCCGCTGCTCGTTCCCCCCATCGGTGCCCACCAGGGGTTGCGGGGGGGGGTCCAGAGCTCCCGAGGCGGCCCGAGCCCGCCCCGAAGCAGGCCACGACAGGCTAAGGGGGTCCCGAGAGGACCCTAGACGGTCCCACGAGGCCCTGAAGACGCCCAAGATGCCCTCAAGACAGCCGACGAGGACTCCAACACGCTCCAGGACGGACTCAAGAGGCTCCCCAAGAGGGCCCTGGAAGGCAAGATTCACTCGTTTTCCGAGTGTTTTGGATTTTGGCGTTCTCGCTTTTCCCGCTTTCCAGCGCTCCCTCACTGCCTCGGAGGCCTTTCAGATCGCTCCAAGAAGGCCCACGAGGCCCCGACGAGGGCCCCAAGACGGCCCAGGATGCTCCCCAGACAACCCAAGTGTGCCCTAAGAGCGCGCCAAGAGAAGGCCCAGAGGGGTCCCGAGGAGGCCCGGGCCCGCCCCGAAGCAGGCCACGACAGGCTCATGGAGGTCCCGAGAGGGCCCTAGACGGTCCCAAGAGGCCCCGAAGACGCCCAAGCTGCCCTCAAGACGGTCGACGAGGACTCCGACACGCTCCAGGATGGACTCAAGAGGCTCCCCAAGAGGGTCCTGGGAGGCAAGATTCACTAATTTTCCGATGGTTTTTGGAGGATTTAGGCGTTCTCGCTTTCCCCGCTTCCCAGCGCTCCCTCACGGCCTCGCTCGGAGGCCCTTCAGATCACGCCAAGACGGGCCACGAGGCCCCGAAGAGGGCCCCAAGACGGCCCAGGAGGCTCCCCAGACAACCCAGCTGTGCCCCAAGAGTTCCCCAGGAGAGGGCCCAGAGGGTGACTGCCAACCGATATTTCGAGGTCTCTGGCCCTAGAGGCCGCCTGTAGGCCCCCGGAAGCCACCAAGAGGCTCCCACGAAGCCCCGTGAGGCGCCCAAGAGGCCCCCAGGAAGCCCCAAGAGACCCCCAAGGGGCTCCCAGGGAACGCCCAAGAGGCCCCCCAACACACCCCAAGATTTCATGTCCCCAGAAAACCTTCCAGGGACATGGTTCATCATGGGCCCGAGAGTTCCCGGAGGCCCCCAAGGGGCCTCCAGGGAACGGCCAAGAGACCCCCCATCACACCCCAACAAACCATGTTCCCTGAAGGCCTTCCGGGGACATGGTGCATCATGGGCCCGCGAGTCTCCGGAGGCTTCGAAGCACCACCATTCTACAGGAGAGCTGTCTGGGAAGTTGATTGGGAACATGACTGATCGCCTTCTCGCGGCCCTCCGCAGATCGTTTCGCACAAAGTTGCCCCAAGTGCCCTCTTGAATCGACGACGACGACGAAACGACGACGACGACGACGACGACGACGACGACGACGACGACGACGACGACGACGACGACATTACGACGACGACGACGACGACGACGACGACGACGACGACGACGACGACGACGACGACGACGACGGCACGCACCAACAGGCTCCCCAAGACGCCCCCAAACCCATGCTCCCAGAAGGCCTTCTGGGAACCCGATTCATACGGCCTCCGCCCCTCTACACAATCATCTTCCTCGAAGGCCTTTTCGGAATGCAGATTGGAATGCGTGTATTGTGGTCCACTACTTCAGTGGAGCAGTGAATTCGTCAAGGCCTGGGGCCTGCTAGAACCTGAGCGCGCGCGAAGCGCGCGCGATGGTTCTAGTATATAAATATATATATATATATATATATATATATATATGTATATACACACGCACAAGACTGCAGTGGCGCTTCGCGCCATGCACCTTTGTCCTTGAAGTTTGGTATGCAGGCGGAATGGCAGGAAAGTCAAGCCACCGATTTAGCGATAACTCCTTGTTGCCTTTTCCAGCATCGCAGTTCTAATTCGCCGGCCCAACGGGCCAGAGGCGTGCTAAGATCTCCGGTAACTGGTTAAGAATTCTCTAGTTTGCGCGCGCGGGGCGGCCCCTGGGGGTCCCCGGACGAAAAGTACCCCGGCAAGGTCCTGAGAGAGTCCCGGGAGGAGTCCCCCAGAGCGCTCCAGGAGCGCTCCATGAGCGCACCAACAGGGCTCCGAGACGTCCCCGAGAGCCCCAAGAAAGGCCAAGAGGCCCCCAAGAGGCCCCCAAGATGGTACACGAGGGGTCCGACATGCCACAAGATCGCTCCAAGACGCCCAAGATAGCCCCCAGACGCCCCAAGAGGCCTCCCAGAGCACTCCCAAGAGGGCCCCCGGAGGCAAAATTCATTGTTTTTCCTTAGGTTTTTGAAAGATTTTGGAGCTTCCACCTTTTCGGTTCCCGACGCCCCAAGACGGCCCCAGAGGCCCCCAAGATCGCCCCAAGAGGGCCCAAGAGGCCCCCAAGAGGGCCCCAAGATGGCCCAAGAGGGCTCGAAGACGGCCCAAGAAGCCTCCAAGACGGTCCAAGAGGGCCCCAAGAACACCCCCAAAGGGGCCCCAGAGAGGGAACACGAAACAAAATTTCGCGCCCTCGGCCCTAAGAAGCCCCTACGAGGCCCCAAGAGGCCCCTAAGAGGCCCCAAGAGGCCCCCACGAGGCCCTCAGGAGGCCCCCAAGAGTCTCCCAAGCGGCCCCAGGAGGCCCTCCAAATGCCCCCCCGAGCGCCCCAGGAGTCCCCCAAGCGGCCCCAGGAACCCCCAAAGCGCCGCATTGACACCAGGCCCTCGGGCAAACGGCAGACATGAGACCGTATGGGCCGGCGGAATGAGCGAAGCGATTCAATAATTGTTTTCGTTATCCTTCTTTCATGCTTCTTTCTTCTTATTCTCGCCATACCCTGCGCATTCTCCCCCTCCTCCTCAGCTCTTTTCGCGGAGGCTCCTCCTTGGAGAGCCTCTGGGAGCCTCACAAAAAGTTGTTCGGGCTTTCTTTAGGCTTTCTGGAGGCCTCCTGGGCGTGTTCTGGGGGCCTCTGGGGGGCTGACTCTCGGGCCACCCCGCCTCCAACCGCGGTCTCCCGGAACGACCGGGCCACGATGTGGAATGCTTCGGAGGGTGTCTCTCTTGGGCGGCCGTGGGGCTCTCTTGGGGCCCTCTTGGACCCCTGCTGTGCCGTTCTGGGGCTCTCTTGGGCTGCCTGGAAGCGCTTTCGGATGGTTGCGGGGCGATTTTGGAGCCTCCCAGGGTGGCTTCGGACGCGCAGAAGACCGCCGTCCTGGAGCGTCGGGAAGCCGAAGAGAGGAGGAGAAAACCAATGTTTTTTGCCTTTGGGGGCATTCTTGGGAGTGCTCTTGGAGGCGTCTTGGGACGTTTTGGAGCGATCTATGGGGGTACGACGGCTTCTTGGGGGTCGTCGTGGACCGTCTTGGGGCTCTCTGGGGTCGTTTCGGGAGCGTGCCGGAACGCTTGGAACCCGACTGGGGCCGTCTTCGGGCTCTCGTGAAGTTCTCCCAGGTCGTCTGAAGGGTTGCCCGGAGGCCCAGGAAGGGCCAAATTCGTTAGGGGTGGGGGTTGGGTTTTTTTCCAGCGTCTCTGGCCCTAAACAAATATATCACCAGGTCTATTAAGCCTCTACGCCACCCAGCCTCTGGGCGGGCCGCCGTCGCCGACTCCGTCTTTTACAAAGTGCACCTAGCGTTCGGGGCCGCAGCCGCCGCCGCCGCATCGGTTGTTTGTATGATTGCCTTCAGCCCACCCCGCCACCGCGCCTGGGTCGAAGACCAGAGGCCTCGTCGCGGTTGCGCGCTTGTTCCCTTCAAAACAGAATTATGTTGTGCAATTCGTGGCGGTTGCGCGGTTGTTCCCTCTGTGTGGGGGGTTCGGGCCAGGGGGGAGTTTTAATAGAATTATGTTGAACAATTTGTTGCGGTTGATATGTTTTGTTCTGTTTTGGGTGCGCGTTAGTGGGTTGAAGGTTCCGTTTGGTTTTGGAAGCGATTGCGGGCATTTTCGGGAGGGGATTGTGAATTGGATTGCGGCGTCGGATTCAGGCTCGTATTTCGTGGTCCGACGATCTCCAGGTCAGAAATATATGTTATCAGAATGCACGCATGCATGCGCGCGAGTTGAACACGTCTACATGCATTGTCTACACCCCTGTTTTTCCATGTTCATGTCGCGTAGTACATATAGTGTGCGCAGAGTCCGCCGCCGTCGTTTTTATATAGCCGCCTTGGCTCTTGCGCGCGGCCGCCGCCAGTTTTGTTGTAACACTTAGGGTCCGGGGCGTTGGCCGCCAGATTGGGGGACCCCCCTGCATAGTCTGTCCGCCGTGGGAATTTTAGTGGGCACTTTTCCTAGAATGTCGACCTGGTGATATAAAATATATGAGTAGGAGTGTGTGTGTGTGTGTATATATTTATATGTATGGATGTATGTATGTATGCATGCATGCATGTATATATATGTATATATGTATGTATGTGTGATTCATGAATGTACGTAATGTGTGTATGTCTGTCTGTCTGTCTGCCTGTCTGCCTGTCTATCTGTCTGTCTGTCTGTCTGTATGTATGTATGGATGGATGGATGGATGTATGGATGTATGGATGTATGGATGTATGGATGGATGGATGTATGTATGTATGTATGTATGTATGTATGTATGTGTTTATGTATGTATGTATGTGTGTATGTATGTGTGTATGTGTGTATGTGTGTATGTGTCTGTATGTGTGTATGCCTGTATGTGTGTATGTGTACATGTGTGTATGTGTGTATGTGTGTATGTGTATATGTGTGTATGTGTGTATGTGTGTATGTGTGTATGTGTGTATGTGTGTGCGTGTGCGTGTGTGTGTGTGTGCGTGTGTGTGCGTGTGTGTGTGTGTGTGTGTGTTTGCATTGTGTGTGTGCGTGCGTGCGTGCGTGCGTGCGTGGGTGCGTGTGTGTGTGTGTGTGTTACGTGTGCGCGCGTGCGTGCGCGCGCATGCTGCAGCCGCTGCGCGGCAGCGCCGCGGGGGGCGGGAGCGGGGGGTGGGGGGCGGGGCGCGCCCGCTTGAGCCAGCGGGCGAGCGGCGGTTTGTCGTCATCGGCGGCGTCGGCCTCGGCCTCGGTGTCGGCGTTGGCGTCGGCGTCAGCGTCGACGTGGGCCGTCGTCGACGTTGGCTGCTGCCGCCGCCGTCGCCGTCACCGCCGTCGCCGTCGCCGCCGCGGCCGCCGCCGCCGTCGCCGCCGCGGCCGCCGCCACGAAGAGGCCCCCGCTGCTTGAGCTCAAGGCCTCCATCGGCCCCGAGTTTGGGAAGCCGTGCACCACGTACATCACCGAGCTCGAGCTGTCTGGCCTGTGGCTCGACGGCCAGGTCGTGCAGGTCCGCTCCTACCTCAGGTCTTGATGATCCTCGGAACGTGTGTTGGCCCAATGTGTGTTTGCTCTGTTCGGCTCCGCTGATAGCACACAGCTCGTGTCGGCCCTTGTTACACCGCGAACCACTTTGCATGACCCCTCTTCACCCCCAGGCCTTCATATTGAACGAGCGTTCCCAGAGAGCCGGGGCCAGGAAATCTTGAACCTGGCATCTCGAACGCAAGACTTGCTAATGTTAGGCTGGAGGGAAGGGGGGGGGTGAATTTAGTTCTTTCTAGCTCGGGTGTTGCAAAGCTCGTTCCTTCCACCGTAGCCCAGTGTGTTTGCCCCGTTCGGCTCCGCCGATAGCGCGCAGCTCGTGTCAGCCCTTGTTCGCCTTCGTCGTGTTGAAGGGCTTCGGTGAACAGGCACACGTTGGCGCTACCACACGCTCTGCGGGTCACCGGAGGTCGCGCGAGGGGAACGAGACCGACAAGTTCCTGGGCCTCCGGGTGCTCCGGCCTACCAGCGTGCCGTCCCAGGCCCGAGGAACCACACAGAAACAAACATAAACGTACAGTCGGGTTTGATTAGTAGGTCGACCTTGCCAATTCAAAGGTGCCCTTATGTCCTGTGTTTCGCGACCCATGCCTTCTTCATTCCTATGGCAATGTGCCCCTTGGAAAGGGGTCTTGTGTCCTCTCGGGTGTCCTCTCCAATCGAACTTGACTGTAAATTGTCGCAGGCCCGCGTGGATTTCTCGGGTCGTCGTTGAGGCCCCCGCGGCGGCGCCTCCGGCGCCGCCCCTGGCTCGGCAACGTGACGTTAGGAGGCGATAGGCTCATGGGGGCGGGCGCATCGAACCCCAATCGCCCGTTGTTCGCCGAGGGGGGCCCGATAGCCCAACTAGGCCCAGGACCGTGAGGATTCGCTATCGGGGGCCTATCGCCAATCTGTCGGCCATGCATCGAGCCTGTCCCATACGGTCGCGGCCCCTCCTTGGCGCGCTCCGCGCGCCAGGGAGGTGGGGCACGGCGCCGATCCGAGATATCTGTCGGTTTGTGCTGTTTTCGTCCCTCTTAGAGGTCCCGTGGGAGAAGCTGGATGAGAGGGACGATCCCATGGTCATCTCGGAGGGAAGGGGACATTCGATGCGGGTCACGCTGTCCACGACAAAGTGGCACACCAACAAACGCGCCTGGGGGAAGGCGCCGAACGTGGCGGGGCAGGTCGAGATCGGGCTGCAGAATATCTTTCACAGGCACCACAAGGACGCGGCCACGCAGATCGTCATGCGCCAGGACTTGCCCTTGCAGGAGCACCTGAACCTGGCCGTGCGGCACCTGAGCTCGCTCGCCCGCATGGACATCGGCGGCCTCCTCGGGTTCGACCCGCACCCGGAGTCTCTGGAGGACGTCACGCCCGAGTGCCAGCGGCACAGGGACGGGCTCGACCGCGAGCGGGGCCCGCGCTCCAAGAAGGCGTGGAAGGTCCGCTGGGAGAAGGTCAAGGATCGAGTAGGGGATCGAGTAATTACAGAATTGATGCACCCCAGAATGGACTTTCTCCTCGAGGGGGGGGCGAAACGTTTTTTTGAATCACGCGCGCCATAGCTCGGAGAGCTCGGGGAACTCACCGCGCCTTGCCTCGCCGCGCCTCGTCCGCAGCGGCCCCGTGCGGGGCAGGGGCCCAGCCCAGCCCGCGGCCGCTGCGGCCGGGCGCCGCGGCCGCGGGCCACGAGCGGCCCCGTTGCCTGCGCCTCCCTCCTCTCAAACGAGGAGGGGGCGCGGGACCGTCGCTGTCCGCGCCGCGACCGCGACGGCACCAATCACCGGCGTCGCCGCCGCGTGTGTCAATCTGGCGGGCGCCACCCCCATGATCCGCCCGAGCAGGGAAACCTGTTGGTGAATCGCGCGCCCCCCGCGGATGTGTTAATCACAAGCTGAGAGTACTGCTCGTAGATCTTCTATGCATTTTTCCGTGAATTCGACGAGCACATCAGTGTTGGGGTAAATCTTTTCTGCAGTTCATCCCCCACTCGACAGGAGCAGCGCGGGCAGGCCCAGGCCCCCGGCGGCAGCATGAACGACAACGAGGCGGCCTCGAGCCTGATTGGCCAAGCGCGACAAGCGAGGGACAGCACGGGCTCCGAAGACTCCTCCCCCTCCTTATCCTCCTCATTATCCTCCTCCTCCTCCTCCTCCTCCTCCTCCTTCTCCTCCTCCTCCCCCTCCTCCTCCTCCTCTTTCCTGGTCCTCCTCCTCCTCCTCCTCTTTCCTGGTCCTCCTCCTCCTCCTCCTCCTCTTTCCTGGTCCTCCTCCTCATCCTCCTCCTCTTTCCTGGTCCTCCTCCTCCTCTCCCTCCTCCTCCTCCCCTTTCCTGGTCCTCCTCTCCTCCTCCTCCTCCTCCTCCTCCTCCTCCTCCTCCTCCTCCTCCTCCTCCCCCTCTTCTTTTTTCCTGGTCCTCCTCCTCCGCCTCCTCCTCCTCCTCCGGGGATTGGCTTGGGGCGGGGGATGGCAGGCATCGGCCCCCGATCGCCCATTCCGTCGCCGAGCGGCACCCTGGGACGCCCGGCCCTGCTCCACCCAGGAACGTGCGGTTTCGCCGCCGAGGGATTCTAGGCCGACGCCTTCCCCCCCAGACCAGGCCCCCTTTTCGGACTTGCCTCAGGATATGATGTGCGTGTGCGCCGATGATGGCCACAAGGAGGACTCATTCGCCGACGACACGTCGGTCCCAGGCGTCCTCGTCGACTCCCAGACCGCCAGGCTTGCGGAGGCGGTCTGGGACTGAGGAGCCGGAGCCGCGCGGGGCGGAGCGCTGTGTCGTCCTGTGGGCTTCGCGGCAGCTCTGCGGAGCGGGAGCGTCGGGGGTCCCCTGCTCCAGGGCCACGTGGCGCGGAGAGCGCTTGTTCCCCCCCATTGTTCCCTCGCTTCTCCACCGTCGCCTCCGCCCCCCCCCCCCCCCCAGCGTGTGCAGCTGCTTCGACGCCGGAGCGCGTCCCAGCTCCCAGCGCTGCTGCTCGGAGGCGACGACAGGGGCGAACAGCCCAGGGGGGAGCATATACCGTGTATCCAGGGGCGCCGATGATCTGTGCCTTCGACAAGGCTCCCCAGCGAATGCGTGTAATGCCCGCCCCTGGGCTATTGGCCCCTCTGGTCGCCGCCGAGCTGCGCCTGCAGCCGTAGCTGAGCTTTCGAGCACCAGGCGGACTCGCCTCATGACCCGCAAGCCCACTGACGAGGCTGCGGGATCGTCTGCTGTGCTGGCCTCCGTCCTCGCGCGCTCTGCGTGTTGGTGTCTCGGTTCTGCTTGATCGTCTTCTTCTTCTTCTTCTCCTCGTACATTAGCCGCGCGCCCGCTGTTTGAGCCCTATGCCAGACATGCCTGTGCGGGCACTAGCCGTTCAGGTCTTGCTCCCCGCCGCTGGGGCCCACCCCGAGGGACCTGCGGGTCCAGTGCTGCGCCATCTCCTCGGGTGCGCCCTTCCACACACCCCCGACGGCAGAGGCGGAGGGGGGCAGCGGACGAGGCACGAGCAAGGGCGAGCCTGCTGCCGGAGTGTGAGGCGGGAACCGCTTCTCCAGGGTTCTGTGCGCCTCGGACGGGCGAGCGGGGGCCGGTGTCTCTTTCCGGCGGCGAGCCCGCGGGGGGAGTGGAGAGGGGGCGGGCCTTCTCAGGAGGCTCGGAATTCCCCCAGCCTTCGAGAGGTTTTCAGAGCCTTCCCGAAGGCGCAGCGAACTGTTCAGGAGGTTGGAGGCCTTCTGAGAAGCCCCGCCGCCTTTGAGAAGGCCTTCTCATCCTCACTTGACCCCCTCGCTCGCCGCCGATCCTTGCATTTGCTCCTGCGGGAGCCCTCTGGAGTCACACCAAGTAGCTGGTGATTCTTCGCAGTGGCACATGTTATAAAGGCACGGGGTCCATGACCAAGGCGTCGCGGTATCTTGTCGTTGCCGCTCTTGGCCATGGTCCATGTCGATCGTCGCCGACTCGCGAGGAGGATCCGCGGAGGGAAGAAGCTGGCCAGGACAGACCGCGCGACGTCTCCGCGTTCAGCCGTGGTCATGACCCCCGTCTTCTCCCCCTCCGCTCCCGCACTTTCTTTTTTTTGTTTCTCTCTCTCTCTCTCTCTCTCTCCCAAGAGGCGCCCCAGCCGGGCTCAGAAGACCCCAAAGAGGGAAAGCGCGGCATTGGATCCCCCAGTGATTGAAAAGGGTGCTCGCAGAACCCCCACCCTCCCCCCCTTCAATGGGGGGGTGAGATTTTCGGACCCCCCCTCCTCGTTTTAAGGGGTGGGAGGGATTCGGATCCCCGCCCCCCTCTTTGAAAGGGGGGTGAACTCCGGACCCCCCCCCCTGCCCTTTGCGCTGGAAGGAGGAGGGGGACGATTTCGGACCCTCCCCTCTCCCCCCCTTGCGCTGGACAGGGGCCCAGGGAGTAGGGAGTAGTGGGTAGTGCGTAGTGAGTAGTGAGTAGTGATGTGAGCAGTGAGTAGAGAGTAGTAGTGAGTAGTGAATTGTGCGTACTGCGTAGCGCGCAGAGAGTAGGGAGTAGTGGGAAGTGCGTCGCGAGTAGTGAGTAGTGAGTATGAGTCGTGTGTAGTGAGTACTGAGTCGTTAGTGAGTAGTGTGTAGTGCGTACGGAGTAGTGAGTAGTGAGTAGCGAGTAGGGAGTAGGGAGTAGTGGGTAGTGAGTAGTGAGCACTGAATAGTGGGTAGTGATTAGTGAGTGCTGTGCAATGAGTAGTGCGTAGTGAGTAGGAAGTAGGGAGTAGGGAATAGTGGGTCGTGAGTAGCGAGTAGTGGGTAGTGAGTAGTGATTAGTGAGCAGTGTGTACTGAGTAGTGAGTAGTGAAGAGGGAGTAGTGCTTAGTGAATGGTGAGTAGTAGGGAGTACTGAGTAGTGAGTAGGGCGTAGTGAGCAGTGATAAATGAGTATTGAGTAGTGGGTGGTGAACGGTGAGTAGTGAGTATCGAGTAGAGAGTAGTGGGTAGTGGGTGGTGGGTACTGAGTAGTGAATAGTGGGTAGTTGGTAGTGAGCACTGGTAGTGAGTAGTGAGTATTGAGTAGTCAACGTTGAGTAGCGAGTACAGGGTAATGGGTAGTGGGTAGTAAGTAGTGCGTAGTGGGTATTGAGTAATGAGTAGTGGATGGTGAGTAGTGGCGAGTAGGGAGCTGTGAGTAGTGTGTAGTGAGTAGTGAGTAGTGAGTTGCGAGTACTTCGTAGCGAGTAGTGAGTCGTGAGTTGCGAGTTGTGCGTAGAGAGTAGTTCGGTGTGGGTAGTCAGTAGGGAGTAGGGAGTAGTGATTTGCGAGCAATGGGTAGTGGGTAGTGATCAGTAAGTAACCAGTAGGGAGTAGGGAGTAGTAAGTGAGTACTTAGATTCGCGTAGTGATTAGTGACTAGTTTGTAGTGGGTACCGAGTAGTGAGTGGTGAGTACGGAGTAGTGTGTAGTGATCGATTTAGGATTAGGGTTAGGGGTGAGGGTAATGCTTGAGGATTAGGGTTAGGGGTGGTAGGGGTCGGGTTCTGGTGAAGCCAATGGGCGGCGTGGCGAAAGAGGACGATGCGGGGGTCGAATTTTGAGTCCAAAGGTAGGGCGGGGGGGGTGTCGGGACCCCCCTCCCGTTTCCAAAGGGGGGGGGTGTTGTCGACGACAGACCGGGAAACGGGGGGGGGGCCCGACGACGGACCCGGGGAAAGGGGGGAGGAGTGGGGGGGTCCGACGACGGAGCGGGGAAGAGGGGAAGGGTCCGAACCCCTCCTTTTTTGCAGGATTCAGCGGCGCGCCCTCTCGAGCAAGTCTCCCAGAGGCTCATATAGTGCAACGTTTGCTCCTGGGGTTGTTATTATTTCATCTGTCAGTATCATGTCTTTCTACGATCATATACACTCATATTTCCAACATATGCTTCCCTCCCCTCCTCTGTCTCTGTCTCTGTCTCTCTCGCTCTCTGGCTCTCTCTCTCTCTCTCTCTCTCTCTCTCTCTCTCTCTCTATATATATATATATCTGGGCAGCTGTTCTACGAAGTAAGTGTGTCCTTGAGCGGGCTTGCCTTGCGGAATCCATCCGTCGCCATGCAAGGGGCACGGCATAAGTACGTCAGCTCCGATGTTGTCCATGCGCTTCGATGGCGCGGGAGCACGCCGTTTTTGATATATATATATATATATATACACCTATATACATATTTATATATATATACATGCATCTGATAGAGTCCCCCACTCTGATAGAGCTCGTTGAAGCTTATCGGCGGGCTCCTGTGCAACTAGATGTCGGTTTCGGCCTCTTCCTGGACAGGCATTTCTTCTATTGAGTCAGCGGCATGCGACCCATGCGAGCAAGCAAGAGGCATTGGCAGTCCTTTCCTGTTGTCTTCCTGATCCTCCTCATCCCACTTCCTCATCCTCCCGCTCCGCCCCCGTTCTTCTACTTCATCCTTCCCTGCTCGTGGCTTCTCCCTCCTTCCCTCCTCCCCTCCCCCCCCATCCCCGTCTCCCCGTCCCGCCCTCCTTCCCTACTCTTTGCCGGCGGAGAAGCGCGAGGGGGGACCTTCTTGTAGCGGTGGGAAATGCATGCTTACACCTCCTTGCACGTCTCAATGCGAAAGCACACCCCTCGCCCCCCGCGTCTGCGGCAACGAGCGCGTCGGTTTGGAAACCCACGGCCGCCTTTTCCCTTTCGGCACGGTCCCGCGTCCGCGCTGCGCGTGAGGATCCGCAACAGGTATAGATCTTGAGAGCGCGCGAAGCGCGAGCGAGATGGCTCTGGTGCCAAGTCGGGCCTGTCCCTCTACAGGAGGAATATTCAAAAAAATATTTCTACAACAACAACAACAACAACAACAACAACAACAACAACAACAGCAACAACAACAACAACAAAGAAGAAGGTCCAGGGACGATTTTTCGAGTATTGTCGATCATTTTTGGAGCATTTCGGGGTTATTACCTAACAGCGAAGACTGATAGGTTTCTAGTAGTGTCAAAAGAGAGCATCATGACTCCCCAGGGGGGTCTGGGCGGCATCGGGACAGGGATCCGCGGAAGTCGTTTTAAGCAAACAGTTGCACACTTCGCGGTCTTCGAGGTCCCAGAACTCCATTCCCGGGCCACATTCTGAATGCCCGGAGCCCACTGTAGGCCACTTCGTGGTCTTCGAGTTCCCAGAACTCCATTCACGGGCCACATTTTGAATGCCCGGAGCCAACTGTAGGCCGCTTCGTGGTCTTCGAGTTCCCAGAACTCCATTCCTGGGCATGATTTTGAATGCCCGGAGCCAACTGTAGGCCACTTCGTGTTCTTCGAGTTCCCAGAACTCCATTCCTGGGCATGATTTTGAATGCCCGGAGCCAACTGTAGGCCACTTCGTGTTCTTCGAGTTCCCAGAAATCCATTCGCCGGGCCACATTTTCAATGCTGAGGCAGGCTGATGCTGAGGCTGAGGCAGGCTGAGGCTGAGGCAGGCTGAGGCTGAGGCCGAGGCTGAAGGCAGACTGAGGCTGAGGCTGAAGGCTGAGGCTGAGGCTGAGGCTGAGGCTGAGGCAGGCTGAGGCTGAGGCTGAAGGCAGGAGGCTGAGGCTGAAGCAGGCTGAGGCTGAGGCTGAGGCAGGCTGAGGCTGAGGCTGAGGGCTGATGCTGAGGCAGGCTGAGGCTGAGGCTGAGGCTGATGCAGGCTGAGGCTGAGGCTGAGGCTGAGGCCGAGGCTGAAGGCAGACTGAGGCTGAGGCTGAAGCAGGCTGAGGCTGAGGCAGAGGCAGGCTGAGGCTGAGGCAGGCTGATGCTGAGGCAGGCTGAGGCTGAGGCTGAGGCTGATGCAGGCTGAGGCTGAGGCAGGCTGAGGCTGAGGCCGAGGCTGAAGGCAGACTGAGGCTGAGGCTGAAGCAGGCTGAGGCTGAGGCTGAGGCAGGCTGAGGCTGAGGCTGAGGCAGGCTGATGCTGAGGCAGGCTGAGGCTGAGGCTGAGGCTGATGCAGGCTGAGGCTGAGGCAGGCTGAGGCTGAGGCCGAGGCTGAAGGCAGACTGAGGCTGAGGCTGAAGCAGGCTGAGGCTGAGGCTGAGGCAGGCTGAGGCTGAGGCTGAGGCAGGCTGATGCTGAGGCAGGCTGAGGCTGAGGCTGAGGCTGATGCAGGCTGAGGCTGAGGCAGGCTGAGGCTGAGGCCGAGGCTGAAGGCAGACTGAGGCTGAGGCTGAAGCAGGCTGAGGCTGAGGCTGAGGCTGAGGCTGAGGCTGAGGCTGAGGCTGAGGCTGAGGCTGAGGCAGGCTGAGCTGAGGCAGGCTGAGGCTGAGGCTGAGGCTGCAGGCTGAGGCTGAGGCTGAGGCAGGCTGAGGCTGAGGCTGAAGCAGCTGAGGCTGAGGCAGGCTGAGGCTGAGGCAGGCTGAGGCTGAGGCTGAGGCAGGCTGATGCTGAGGCAGGCTGAGGCTGAGGCTGAGGCTGAGCAGGCTGAGGCTGAGGCAGGCTGAGGCTGAGGCCGAGGCTGAAGGCAGACTGAGGCTGAGGCTGAAGCAGGCTGAGGCTGAGGGCTGAGGCTGAGGCTGAGGCAGGCTGAGGCTGAGGCTGAGGCAGGCTGAGGCTGAGGCAGGCTGAGGCTGAGGCTGAGGCTGAGGCTGAGGCTGATGAGGCTGAGGCTGAGGCTGAGGCTGAGGCTGAGGCTGAGGCTGAGGCTGAGGCAGAGGCTGAGGCTGAGGCTGAGGCTGAGCAGGCTGAGGCGAGGCTGAGGCAGGCTGAGGCTGAGGCAGGCTGAGGCTGAGGCTGAGGCAGGGTGAGGCTGAGGCTGTGACTGCGACTGCCGTTGCCACTGCGACTGTCATCGCGAATGCGACTACGACTGCGAGAACAGCAGAATTCTACAACTGGATTCTCATCTGAATCTTAAGGGGAATGCTTCCAGATATGCTCCTACACATCGCTGTTAGGTTGCTTTGGCGGGAAAATGTTTCATTTTTTGGGGCTGGCCCGATGTATTTCTAGTGCGGAATCCCTGCAGGAGTGGGGTAGGAGGACGACGAAGGGGTGGACGCGCAGGAGTGACCAGATGAAGAAGTGGACGGTGGCGCGGGGAGGACGATGAGGCGGAATGGGAGGCGGACGATGAGGCGGAGGAGCAGGAGGAGTACGATGAGGAGAATCGGGATGTCGAGGATGAGCATCGGGAGGACGATGAGGAGATGGTCAAGAAGTGGTCATGTAGAGAGGGCGCTGGCTGGTCACATCTCTGATCGTGGGTGCCTTCTCGCCAGGGCGACGGCCACACCCCTGCGTGGAAATGGTGCTGCCGCTCGAGCGCTGGCCGCATCCCTGATTCAGAACATCGCTTTCTCGGGAATGCTGCTCTCGCCGCAGTACTGATCCCGTGCGGTGTTGCAGTTCGAGCGCTGGTCACATCCTTATTTGGGAATGGTGCTTCCGCCACAGCGCCGGCCCATCGACAGAGACCTCCACCTCGGAGAAGAATATACAACTGGTCGAGATGCACTGCAACGCCTTGCAGCAGATCGACGAGACAGTCCTGCCCGACACCAGGACAAAGTTGCAGGGGCCCAGAACAGCTTTAGCCCTGGCTCCAGCCAAGGCAGAGTTTGCCGTGGCACTTCCCCGGCACAGCGAATGGCAAGACGCCGTACCAGGGCGCAGCGCGCAGCCGACAAGGTCGGCGGGATCAGGCAACACGTCGACGATCTCCAGCAGTCCGAGGTGGAGCTCGAGACTCGGTTCCAAGCAAGTGCGAAGGCCGCGAATGACCAGCAGGAGCGGTTCAAGCAGGCCGAGGCTGACCAGGCCAACGAGGAGGAAGCCGCCAAGGACGCGTGGACCGCCACAGCGCCCATCGATTCAATTAAGTTCTGTACAATGACCGCCCGCGACAAGCTGCAGGCCGCCAAAGCGAAGTTTGCGGGTTCCGCCGACGCAGTCGACTTTTCCTCAATTTGGGAAGTTCTTGGAGATGTTGCCGCAGCCAACCGCATTATTCCAGCGGATGCCAAACGGTGAGCCTGCGGTCGCGGACGCCGATATGGAGTTCCACAAGCGCGAGGTCGACGAGCCCAGGAGGGTCTCGTCTGCCGAACAGTTCGACGCAGCCAGGAAGCGCAGGACCGACCACTTCGACAGCGTGGCCAAGCGGGCCGCGGAGCTCGCCCAGTCTCTCGGACCTGCGCCTACTCGCCGCATGGCGGGTAGCCTTCTTGAGATACCGGGCGGGCCAGGCGGTTGCGCCGACGGCGTTGCGTCGCAAGTTGCGCCGCCAGGCCCCGCGGTTTCGGTCAGTTTCAGTAACGATATGACCATGGGCTCTCGCCATTTCCCTTCTTCGCCTCAGCGGGCAAGGCAACATCGAATTTCACTTCTGTTATTCGGGCGCGTGTCGCGTTGGGACTTTTAAGCGGTTCGTCTGTCTTGGGATTCCTGTAAGGGGCGTTTGCTCGAGCTCTCTTGGGGCCAAGCCAAAGTTGCGGGGTCCCACCAACGTCGTTTTTGCCAAAGAGGTCCGTTCAGCTCTTCAATATCGCTTTGAGGGGCTTCGACTGGGGCCGAGGGCGCGGTTGGAAAAATTGACAGGCCCCGTCCGCGGGCACCCATTCCGACAGCGCCCCCTCCATCACTGGTTTAGGTGAGAATGCACCCCATCGAGAATCGCTATCTTCGTGGCCGACGATTTCGGCTGCTTTGCCCTCGAGGATCCTGTCGGGCCCCTGGATGGAGGTTTGGTTCCACATCGCGTCTAGGCTGTCGTTGTGGCATTCTCCCAAACATCAGGTTTTGACGTCGAAAATCATGCACGACCGCGCGCCATAGCCGTCCCATGCCGATCATATACCGAACCGAAGAACCAATGTGTACCACGACGGTGGGAAAATCAGTACATTCGTGTACACATACATATGTGTATACATATGCACATATCGATCGTGCACTATCAGGACTTTTTGCTTTTCCCTTCTCTTGCGTCCGTGCCTCTGTTCTTCTTCAGTATCGGGGGCCTTGCGGCCGACGCCGCCGACCCTGGCAACGACGACGCTGACCGCGACGATGTAGGAGGAGGAGGAGGAAGAGGAAAAAGAGGAGGTGAGTAACCGCGTGACGAGGAGGTGAAACAAGGACGCGGAGGATGCAATAGAGGTGAACAAAGAGGAGGAGGAGGGAAGGAAAGGGGGGGCGACGAGGGCGCGGAGGAGCATGGGGAGGTGGATGCAGAGGTTGGGGGGGGGACGCCTGGGGCGGGGGTGAGGGGGCAGGTGAAGAAAGAGTGCGATATGGGGGGGCGGCTGGCCCACCAGACGGGAGGTGGCATTTTAACACTCCGTTTTTCCGCAAGCGCGGTGGTGGATTCCTGCTGGGAGGTGAACGACTACAGCATTCATACGGTATCATTGTGTTGTTTTGGGGAGGATTAGGTGATTGTGTGGGAGCTGCACATTCGCACTCGCACTGTGTATTTGTATGCAGGATCTGGATGGCGGAGAAATCGCTATGGATTCGCCGTTTACCAGCATGCGTGGTGGTGTCGCATGGGGCAGTGCGGCCACCACGTTACTGTGTCTACACAGTTGGGTTGGCGACGGCGAGGACGTTGACGTGGGTGAGAGTCCTCGGGGATGCTTCTCGGGGTCTTCTCGAAGCGCTATTGCGGGCTCCCGGGGGGCAATGAAGGTCCTCTTGGGAGGCTCTTGCTGGCCTCTGGGGGCGTCCCGGGGTTTCCTGGGACTCACTGGGGGCCTCTAGGGGTCTCTTGCGGGTTTTTTGGAGGCATCCTTAGTTCCTCTTGGCAGCTCCACGGGGCCGAGGCTTCGAGATGTCCGTTCTGGCCTCTCGTTCGGGTATTCTCTTGGGATCGTCTTGGGGATTTTCTGCGCAATGTCGGAGGTGTCTTGGGCAGCCTTGGAGTTATCTAGGGCCGTTCGTGGCTCCTCCTGGAGGCCTCCGGGGCCGTCTTGGTGCGATTTGGGGGGCCTCCTGAGCCATTCTGCAGCGACGTGGGCGAGGGTCCTCGGGGGTGCTTTTAGGGTCTTTTCGAGGCGCTATTGCGGGTTTCTGGAGGGCAGAGGGCAGTTGAAGGCCCTCTTGGGAGCCTGATGGGAGTCCCTTGATGTCCCTTGGGAGGCGTTTCGGGGCTCCCTGGGGCTCTTTCGGGGGCCTCTCGGGGTCGCTTGCGGGCCTTCTGGGGGCCTCTCGGTTGCTCCTGTGAGTTTCTCGGGGCCGAGGGTTCGACGCGTTCGTTTTGGTCTCTCGTTCGGGCATTCTCTTGGAGTCGTCTTGGGGACCGTGGGCCTGGGGGTGTTTTGGGCTGTATTGGAGTTCTCTGGAGCTGTTTTGGGCCCCTCCCGGAGGCCTCTGGGGTCGTCTTGGCGCGATTTGGGGCCCTCTTGGGCCCTGGAAGAGGCGGCGACGCCGAAGCGCTTCAAAAGCCAATGGGGACTCGATGATTTTCATCTGAGGGCTGGAGGCCTCTTGGGACGTCTTGCAGGCCCTTGGGGCGGCCAGAGGCCGCCATGTCGATCCGGGGTCTTCGTGGACATTCTTCGGGGCCTCTCGCGAACCTCTCGGCCCGTCCTAGTTATTTTCTTGGAGCCCGGGGGCTGCCCAGGGGGGAATCGCATTGCGGTCGGGCCCCCCCGGGAACCCCGCCCAGGACCTCCCCGGGGCCACTTTCCTCCCCCTCCCAGCGGGGGAGGGATCGAAGGGGGGGGGAGTTTCCCCTTCGATTCAAATGCAACGCAATTGGCGCGGTCGATTGCGCAGGGCTGGCGCGCTTGAGGAGAAGCCAGGGAAGAGGGGGGGGGAGCGGCGACGGGCCCAGAGAAAGGTCGGGCGCAGGGAACGGGGGCGCCAGAGACAACGGCCAATGCATGATGAAGTCGACGAGTCGAACGAAAAAGCCTGTCACACACGCCGACAGGGTCGGCGGATAGCTCCTCTTCTTCCTCCGCATCCGTCCTGTCAAGAAAATATGTTTGTTCTCCATCACCCCTCTTCTTACGTGCTCCAGATCGTAATCCCTCCTCATATTCCTCGCCATTTTCTCTCCTCCGCCTTCTTCCTTACGTTACATTCCGTCTTCCTCTTCCTCTTCCCTCCTTGTTCCTTCGGCCCTCCCCTCTGCTGGTTCCCGCCTCCGTCCTCATTTGTTCTTCGTTCCTCATCCGCCGTGCTGTTTGGTGGAGCCGATTCTTCATGTCGGCGACGTTTCTGGCTGAACCTGGCTGAGTGTCAGGTGCTCGCTGTTTGAAGCCCTGCTCCTTCGTCACCCCGGAGCGGATGTCACAAAACATGATATCATTTTCTTGTTTGAATCATTACTCGGTTTTTCCTTCCTCTCCGTGCTTCCTACAGTCAAACGGCGCAGTAAACATGGGCAACCTCCGCAAGCGTACCCTTGCATCCTTGCCTCCTCGGTCCATCCTTCACCAGTTTCGTTCGCCGCGCCCCGGTCGACAAGCTTCGAAATTGGCGTCCAAGGATTTTTCCGTCGTTCTCGCGCATCGTCACTACACGGGTTGACTGTACTCCGCCCCCCTTCCCCCTGACCCCCCTCTTCTGCGGTCGCCCTGTTCCCACGGGCGATGGCCCGATCCGAGCAGACAAAGGAAGGCCCCTCCTTCCCGCGACCCGCCGCTCGCACCCCCTTCGGCCGCCCTTCGATCGGCAGATTCCCGTGTCGCCGCTGCCTTGTTTTCGTCGGTTCCCCGGGATGCGACCGTGCCCATGCTCGGTGGTTCAGAGATGGGGTCATGAGGGAGGACGTTCAACGGGTAGGAAGGGGTCCAGAGTGTTGGTCTACACTGTTTGAGGCACGTCGTCATCAGGACCCATCCTCCAGGACCCCATATTTGAACCACCGACGTGTTTTTCGTTTTCCAGTGTTGGAAGCTCGTGCTGGACAGCCGCACCAGCTGTCCCCAAGCGTGTTGTCCTGTTCTTGGGGTTTTCGGTGGGAGGACATACTCTCGTCCCAGACTCTCTGCGTTTCCATGGCCGCGGCTCCGCTCGACGATGTGACCTGCACCAGACCTCGCAGGGTGGGCCCTTTCCGTTCGCCCGTGCCTCGGTTCGGATCGCATGTGCGCGTCGTCGCCGCCGCGGTCGGTGCCACCGTGGTGGCCGTGGCGCGGCGCGCTGCTCTGCTCGGGGCCCGCTTCCCCGCCGGCCGCAGCTGGCAGCTCGGGCCCCTCGCTGCCGATGCGACACCCACGGCTGCGGTGAGCGCTTCGCCGGCCACGCTGGTGTGGACTGCATCCAGCACTGGTGACGAAGCCGGCGTGCTCCGAGAGCGGGAGGACGGGTTGGGTCTCAAGTCATTGGGGCCTCGTGTACCTTCGTGGTTCCGTTTTTGGAACGCTCTCGCGTCGATGAGCGCCTGGTAATCGACGATTTGGCGCCAGTTTGGCGTCGACGAGCGCCGACTCGGCGTCGACTGGCGTCGATTGGAGTCGAGTCGCAAGAGGCGACAGGACGGTATGGGAGGCTCCCGTGAGTTGCCACCGAAGACGGGCCACCCCGTCCGAGGCACACAGCGGCCGCGCACCACCACCCACCACCACGCGCCCTCCCCCCTTCAGGGGCAACGCCAGGAGGGGAGAGGCTTAGGGGGGGGGGACGCGTCGACCCCCAGTGCCCGTCAGTCGTTGAAAGTGGGTATCTCTCTGGAGTCCCAGACTCCAATCTGCTTTAAGCGCCCTCCTATTTCAATGATCGAGTGGCTTCCCCTTTTACCGTCCTCCTTTGGGGGGCGGGCAGACACCCAATCTACTTTGAACGCCTTCCCATTTCATGTCTCTACCCACTCCTTCCGACCGGCGTGTAAAGGGGGGACGCATCGACCCCCAGCAACCCAATCATCGCCGAGAGGGGCTTGGCAGCCCACCCAGGCCCTGGATTGTGCGGCTTCGCTATCGGGGGTCTCTCGCCGATCTGCCGGCCCCAGTTCGCCGATGCAGACTCGATGTTCCCCCCCTCGCTGAGCCAGCCCCCCCCCCGATAGCCTCCCTCGCCCAGCCTTCGTGTATCTCCACTCCGCGGCTCTCCCGCGGCCGATCGGTGCGATGCGCGCACCCTGCGGAGCGCTCTTGGCGAGGCGCACGTGCTGGACGGCACCCCGAGGCCGGAGAGCTGGCAGTGCGGGTCCTCCTCCTCCTCCCCCTCCTCCTCCCCCTCCTCCTCTTCCTCCTCCCCATCCTCCTCCTCCTCCTCCTCCTCCTCCTCCTCCTCGACAGCATGCGACCACAACCACATCGAGGACACATTCCGGGAGATGTCTTGCGCATGCCAAACATCATCGGAGCACCGAGGCCAGCTTCGTACTGGTCGTGGTCGATGTGGCGTCCCAGGACGGCCAAATCGGCCACAGCCACAGCCAGAGTGCTCACGTCGAGGTCGGTGGGTTCTCCGCCGATGGGGCCCTCCCGAAAAATCCATTGCCTTGTGGCTGTGGCTCTCTGCTGTGACCGGAAGCAAGAACGTCCGAGAACCTCGAGCTTCGAGTCCAATAGAGTCGCCCCCCCCCCCCCCCCTGACGCTCCCCGCGCCCACAACCACCTTAACCCTCCCGCTGCGCGCCCTCCCCCACTGCCCCGCCGCCGCCTCGCCGCGCCGGGGAGCCGCCTTCGCACGGAGAGCCAGAGCCAGAGAGCCACGCCCGGGCGGCACGCGTGGGCCAGTGTGAATCTTGGATGGAATCGAGGAAGGAAAGACGGCACAAATCGGAGGTGGACAGACCTACCCTGACACGTCGATTAGTGAATTGGCCGTTTTCGGCTCGCGAGAGGGCGTCGCGGCCGTCATTTTTGCGGGTTCAGGTCCGTCGGTTTCGATCCCAGGCCGTTTTCATTAAAGGGTGGTTTGCTAAGGGGAGGCTTGTCCACCGCCGAACAAAGCAGAAACTTTTGGCGCTCCGCGCGGTTCTCTTGGATCCGCGCTGGGCCCTCCCAGCGCGGATCCGAGAAATCCGCGCGGAGCGCCAGAAGTTTATGTTTATGCTGTTTTTTCTTCTTCTATGGTCTGCCTTGGCGCTGCATGCCGCGTTCGCGGCGAACGCGGCGAGGTCCCGAGGCGACGCGTCGAACCTTTGGGGCAGGCAAAAACCGCGGCGAAGCTGCAGGCCCTCGGATAAAATCCAAGGCCAACCGCGAATGAGAGTCGCTTCGCCCCAGCCCCCGTCCACCAAAGCCGAGGGCGCTGCGGCGCCACCGCGCCACTTGTCTCGGGACTGCCTCTGGGCCGAAGTGAGCGCGTCGATCGGTCGTGCGTCTGTTCGTTCGGCCCTCGCCCCGCTTCTCTTCCAGATCTGCCCGCCTTCGAGTGGCCCCCCCCGCTGGCATCCGAAGAACTTGACCGAAAACCTACAACCTCGAGCTTCTTCCCTCGAACGTTGCTCCTGAAGGGGGAAGGAGGAGGAAGAGGAGGAGGAGGAGGAGGAGGAGGAGGAGGAGTAGAAGGCGGGAGACCAGTGTGAGCCCAAGACTCATGAACGATGTTGCAATAGCCCCACTCCAAGGTTCCTCTTCATAAGTCCCTACAAAGATTTCATTTTCATAGAGGGAAGTGCCCCGTCGGAAGACAACCGTCTGAAAATCCTGGACTTCAACGCTGCGAATCAACGTCAGAGTTGCGTCCTGACGATTCTAATTCGTGCCAGAATACTATACCGTTCCTGGAATTTCAACATTGCGAATCAACGTAAGCGGTTGCGTCCTGACACTCCTACGCCGTACCAGAACACCATTTGTGGGACGTCAACCATTCGAATCCTTGAAACTGCTGTGAACTCTTAAGACGAATGTGCGCGACGTCAAGGCGAGAGCCACATTTTGAAAAGGTGCCGCCCTCCATTTGTGCAGTTCTTGCAAACTTGTAAGACGAATGTCCGCGGCGCTAAGGCGAGTACCACAGTTTGAAAATTGCCCGCCCTCCATCCGTGAAACTCCTTTCGAATGTCTATGACGAAGCTGCGCGGCGCTAAGGCGAGAGCCACATTTTGAAAACCACCCGCTCTCCATCAGTGAAACTGTCGTCATAGTTAAGCTTGAGGATGAGACATGGTGAAGAAGTCTCAGGCAAAACGCAAGGCCCGACCTACTGACATGTCTCGGGGTGCGACCGGGAGTATTTATTTAGGAGGAAAGGGAGCGAAGGAGGAGGAGGACGACGAGGACGAGGACGAAGACGAGGAGGAGGGGGAGAAGGAGGAGGGGGAGGAGGCTGAGGACAAGTTAGGTGCGCTCGCGTCAACATCTGACATCCTAACCCTCCCTCCCATCCCTTACCATGGCGCTGATTTTCTCTATCCGCGGACGCGTGTCGTAGCGGACCTGTGGCTCCGCGCGCGTGTGCGTAGTGGGTGGTGGTGCGCGTGCGTGCGTGCGTGTGTGCGTGGTTGTGGTTGTTGTGGTGGTGGTGTGTATGTGTGTGTGTGTGTGTGCGTGTGTGCGCGTGTGCTGTGGTGTGACGTGGTGTGGCGTCTTGGTGGTTTGGTGGTGGGCCAGGTGCGTACGTGCGTGATGGCGGTGGTGGTGGTGGTGGTGGCGGTGGTGGTGGTGTGTGTGTGTGTGTGTGCGTGTGTGTGTGTGTGTGTGTGTGCGTGCGTGTATGTGTGTGTGTGTGTGTGTGTGCGCGCGTGTGTGTCTGAGTGTGCGCGCGTGTGATGTGGTGTGACGCGGTGTAGCGTGGTGGTGGTGGGTGGGGTAGTGCGGTGGTGGTGGCGGTGCGCGGTGGTGGTGCGCGTGCGTGCGTGCGTGCGTGCGTTGGTGGGTGGAAGTGGTGGTGGGTGTGCGTGCGGCGGGGCGGGGCGTGGTGCGGCGCGGTGGTGGCGGGCGGATGGGCGCGCGAGAAAAAGGCCCGCGCTGGAGCGAGAACGCCATCCTGAACGACGGAGGCAAAACACCGATCCGAAAATGAGGCCCACGCTGCAGCGGGAGCACGATTCGGAACGATTCGGGAGCAGAAATGAGGCCGGCGCCTCAGCGAGAGCAGCATTTTGAAAAAAACGCAGGCGGAAACCCAATTCCCGGGAATCCTGTGTGTAAAAAAGCAGTACGCGGGGGGGGTCGAATATTCCCAGCACGCCATCAGGGGAAGAGGGAGAGTAGTATTCATATTGAGTAATTGTGGAGGAGGAGGAGGTGGAGGAGGTGGAGGAGACCTCCCCGCCTCGCGGCCCCCGCAGGTCTGCAGCGTGGCCACTGGCGTGGGCCTGGGCGTGGTGCTAGGGCTGGCGAAGGTGCTCCACGGCCTGGACTTGCTGCTGGTCCTGCGGGCCTTTGTTTTTCAGCTCAGGGGCAACGTTCGGGCGGATGGGCTCCTCCTCCTCCTCCTCCTCCTCCTCCTCCTCCTCCTCCTCCTTCTCCTCCCCCGCCCCATCCTCCTCCTTGCCCTTCTCCTCCTCCTCCTCCTTTCCCTTCCCCCATCCTCCTCCTTCCTCCTCTCCTCCTCCTCCCCTCTCCTCCTCCTCCTCCTCCTCCTCCTCCTCCTCCTCCTCCCCCTCCTCGTCCTCCTCCCTCCGTAGCCATTGTGGCGCAAAACGGCCAGCTTTGTTTCGTTCGTTTGCCTGGTGCTGGCTCGAGCCTGCGCTCGTTCTGTCCAGATGGATGACGCTTATGCTTATTTAACATGCAGTACTGGCCGCGCGCTGGGGCTTCTCGCTAAATCCTCTGAAACTCACTACTCGATCCTTCAGACGGCTGCTCATGGGCAACGGCGGGCGCTGACCACTGCTACACTGAGGCGCGTGCGGCATCCTGCGATTGCCGCGCAGGTCTTGCGGCATTACACCGACCCCTGGACTGACGAGTTTCTGGCCGAGCTTGAAAGTGAGCTTCGGAGCGCTTATCTTCGCATGCATTCTCTAGTCCCTCTTCGTGCACGGCGTTCTCCAATGTCTCGCGATACACGGTCGCTCTAACGGCAATGCGGCGGTCTTCGTCCGATTGCGCCTGCGGCAATCAGTACGCCATGCAGTGCGGGTCTATTAGAAGTCTTTGTGGTTTCTATCCCTTGGCTTTTTGCTGATGTTCAGCGTTCTTGAGGCTCCCAGCTCGGGGCTTTTCAGGGGACGGGTGGAACCACAAAAAACCAGACCATCAGAAAATTGCAAGGGAATCTAGACAGAGAGAGAGAGAGCAGAGGCGCTACAGCTGATACCAAATACCTCCGGCGAGTCTGCCTCGCTGCGGATGCCGACGCTGACGATTCTAGTGAGTATGAGCACGTCACAGTGGAGCACGTCACAGTTGACGATCTGCAGAAAACGGCTGAGGATATCGAGGGCGCGATCCCGTCGCCGGCCACGGTTCTCCCCGTGGTCAAAGGCATGTTGCTCGAAGCGGTGCCCATTGTTGTCGGGTACTATGTCCCGTTTGTTGTCGCGGACTCGATGGCGCAGGCCACCAGCCCGTTGATCGACATACAGTGGAACACATGCTAAGAAGCACATTGCTTGCCTCCAGGGTCCCTTGGGTTTCATGGGTTTCAATGGTTTTGCTGTGGAAAGCGTGACGCTCCCACACAGAAAAATCAATGGATGTCCTGGGGTCTCAGGGTTTGGTTTCTTGTGGAAGGTTTCTTGTGGACTGGCCTCCGCTGTAGTCTCCACTAGGGTCGCAGAGGCCCTGGGCGCCGTGAGCGAGGCAGGCGAATTGGAAGGCTGCTCCGCGGCCTGGAAAGTCCGAGGCGCTCCCCGGAATGGCAGGACGGAGACCCCCTCTTGGCCAGCAGGGAAGGGTCGGATAAGAAGGGAAGGAGGAGCAGGAGGGGGAGGAGGGGAAGGAGCAAGAGGAGGAGGAGGAGGAGGAGGAGGAGGAGGTGATGAGATGAGATGAGACCAATGACGAACTCAAATGAAAAAAGAAAAGGGAGGGTGGAGGGTGCGGCGTGGGCGCGGCGGGGCGGTCCTGGGAGTTGAAGAACAGGAGCGGGCCGCGCGGGCGCGACGCTCACTCCCCCCCCCACTCCGTCCCCGACCAAACCGCCGCACACGCACACGCACACGCACACGCACACGCACACACACATACACACACATACACACACATACACACACACATACACATACACACACACACACCACATTGGGCCCCCACACACCACAACCACACTAATTGGGAAGACCTCTAGCCGCCTTCTCAGCCTTGCTGAGAACTTTGGGCCAAAAGTTCATGGAAATACGATCGAGATACTCCCTCCTCGTCTTGGTGAGAGGCAAGGGTGGGCATAGATGGGCTGGACACTGACACGCCAGGCCCCTAAGCTGGAGGTGGCCATAAGAACCACAGCCTTTACAAAACCAGATATTAAGATAAACATGATGGACCATGCAGTGAGACTGATGGACCCACCCCCCCGCGAAATGAAGACGACACCCGTGAGGCACTCTTAATGTGTGTTCGGTCGCCTTATCGAGGTCAAATCAATCGGGTGCGAACCAACTCGCTTTATTCCTAACAGGGCACGAGCCGTGACACCGAGCACATCTGTTTCCAGTCGGGTCCACTACATGACAAGGTTTTTTCTAAAAAAGCGGCCGCTGAAGGAGCAGGGGGGGGGCAACAGCAGGAGCAGGAGTGCGCCTGACCTTTTTCCCGTCCCTCTTACAAGCCTCAAGGGTGGCCCTCAGAAGACGCTCCCTGATAAGACGAACCTCGTTCCTGATACGATAAACCTTCGCACGCTGCTCCGCGGGGACACTGAAAACGCGGGCAGCTGTCTCCGCAAGTCCGTCGACGAACACGTCTCCTGCAATCAGGTGGCCAGGCAATCTTCTGGCCTCAACCTCGACAGCATCCACATACGACGGCACCTTGAGTACGCAAACATCGCCTGGGTGTCGGTCCGACATACGGACGGCGACATGCAGTTTCCTCCAGAGGTCCGCGTTGGGCCCCCCTGGGGGGCAAAACACCTACTCCAAAAGCTTCGAGTGACCTCATCATTATCCGTAATGTAGGGCGGAGGGGTCTAGATTGCCCCACGGCAGCTACAAAACAGAAAAGCTCCCCCCCAGGAACCGTTTGATGGCGGCCTGGGAGGGAACCATGCAACTATTTCTGAGAGATTGGGGCGGCGGCAGGAGCCGTGGCGACAGCCACTCCAACACGCCTAAGCCTGAGGGTAGTGAGTGTCAGCTCCTCCCGGCGCGTCTCCCCATATCAGCAGGTGTAGGCCAGCCGTGCCGACCCCAAAGAAGCTGTCATGAAAAGCCTCAGAACCGTGGCTGCGAATCCATACATCATTCGCTGGTGGTGGATCTACCTCAAGCATCGGGGACGGAACGAGGCCTCGCAACCAATGACAGTCTAAACTTTCGGGTTCATTCAAAGCGCGGGGATTGAGACTCTCTGGCACACTGAAAGCTGCATTCCCCTTTATTACATTCACAACTTCAGAATATGTGGACTGGGGTCTCGGGCCCCCCGCCACACCGAGTACATTCGCTTGGGATGTCGTATCCAAGCGCACTCTTCCTAGCTGCAGGTCACGCGCCACCTACAGCAATGCATGACATGAGCTCAGAAACCTTGCGGCCGAAAACAGGCAATTGTTCAAGCTGAAACAAGAGCTTGCGGAGCGAGAAATTGTCTAGTCCTTGCTCCATGCCGCTTCCACAGAAACCTTGAGCGGCGACGCGCCACTGCTGCCCCTTGAGGGTCTCCGTGAAATGTTCTGTCAGCTCGCCTGCCTGATCAAACGCCTCAAAATCTTCTGACCCAGAATTCCAACCATGCTGCATCCCGTCGGGCCCGACATGGGGATACCATTCAGTGGCTGACCTGAGTTCCCACTGGTCGCCCACCAAGTAGTGGACTGGGGCAGAGATATCGGCCCCCGAACATGCCGAGCCCTATGCTGGACATCCAGGCCTACAATCTGTTGGACCAGGTCTGACCAGACCTTGCCAAACGCATGTCTCATCTGCGGGGCGCCTAGCCAGCACTTGAACCACTGCCCGACGGACGCATTGGCGAGGGAGCACATAGCCAGGGTCGGCCCCTGGTGCTCTCAGGTCGAGCAACTTCGTCAGGCACCGTCCACGCCGATGGCCTGAGACGCCCCCTAACCTGCGTCTGAGCTGCACCTAGGATGACTGCGGCAGCCCTAAGACTTGGCGGCCATAGCGGGCTCCTGCCTGAGGGCCTGCCAGCTCCACCTTCTTACATATTTTGAACCTGCGAGACGACAGTGCGAATCTCTTGTGCGCGACGTGCTGCCGCTCGGTGCTCTGCGCGCGCTTCTGCCTCGCGCCCCGCCCGCGACGCCGACCGCAAGACAGGTGAACGCCTGGGCAAGCCATCCGTCTGGCACACTGCAGTTCGATGCCTCGCTTCCTCAAAGTCTTGGCAATCGCCCAAGCATCCGCCATCGCCGAACATGAAACGGAGCTCTTGCTAGCCAGCTCGAGACTCACTGGCAAGGTGATCGAAAATCGAAGTGACGCCTTCAATCCGGTCCCGTCTCACACTTGCTGATGACCCGACTGCCGACTGCGATAAGTCGTCGATCCATAGCCGTTCGGTCAGTCTCAGATGCATCGCCGTGAGACGTTCCATGACCAGACTCGTGACGCACCGTGCAAAACGTGCCCCACTGAGGAGTCCTTGAATATTGCTCCTGGTGGGTTGGAAGGAATTCGACACCGCGTGCCCCTGATCCAACATCCTAGGGCTCGCACATATTTGCAACTCCAACCCCAACATGACTGCTGGGAATCCGTGCCGCATAGCTCCCTTGTCGAGGGTGTCCCACTCCATCATATCGTAGAAACTTTGGATGTCCATCAGCGCGTGTCCGTTGGCCATCTTCATCCGAGTATAGAATTCCTCATTGAGTGCCTTCATGTACGCCTCGCGAAGAGCGCCGTTGCCCTTCACCGCGGCGTCCCAGTCGGGCTGGGTCCCGGATGGCTATTGTTGAGCAACAGGCTCACGCGCTATGTTTCAAATGCGACAAATCATACAAATTGATCCGACCACTCAAAACTGCACCTCGGCCTTCTTGGGTAGTGATCTGCCAGCGACACCCATGAGCTGCCAAGGCCATGTTCGACATTCCTCGAACATGTTGAACGAGGCCGCCTGCTCCGACAATGCATCGTCTCTAGCAATCGTTCCAGGTCGACTGGTGACAATCTATCCATTCCCATGCCTGCCTTAGCCTTCATCGCTCTGACTGCGCGGCGGACGTCGTGGGCGGTCAAGGGCTCCAGCGGCCCCCCCCGTTCGCGCGCGCGGATAGTCGCGAACAGCTCCTCCGCCTTTTGGTAATCCATGTGCCCCGGCGCCCGCAGCTTGCGCCACTTGGATGCTCGATGTTCGCCCACATCACGAGGATGGTAGACTGTGTCCCCGTCGTCCGCGACGAAGTGCGAACTGACCACTTGCTCCTTTGAGGCCTTGAAAGGCCCTCCCCCCTGCGAACTCATTCCGCATAACCCATTGCTTAACATCTGATAACGATGCCGACAGCGCCCGAGACCTAGCCCTGCTCGCAATACGAGCAGCCTCCTTGGACAGCAGCTCTAGTTGGGCGGCTGGGATCTCGCGCAATTGCCCGTGCATCCCGACGAGGCCCACGACGTAGCCTCACGGCGGATCATTACCATCCTCTGAATTCCATCGGGGAAATGTCCTGATAACTTCGTTGCTGCCTCACACAATGATGCGATCTGTGCATGCCCATTGCTCCTCTGCTTGTGCTCGGTGGCCTTGCCAACGACGACGGCAACTCGCCCCCACCAGTTAGCAGCGGCATCCTGGAAAGGCATGTCGCGATAGTGCGTGGACTGCCGCACCTGCTGGACCGTCATCGTGGGGCCTCTCGCACGAGAGATGCTGAGCCCAGAGCCTTCCGCTCCGTGCATCTCCTCGGCTGCTGCGACCCCTGCTGAGAACGCCCAGCTGACTGCGAGCACGAACTGACCGCGCACGTGGAATGCTAACGACTGCTGGATGGGGTTTCCACGCGTCGTCAAGGGGGCGCAGATGAAAGCCATAATTGGCTCGAGCCGAACCCAGCGGACCTGGGGAAGGGCAAACGCAACAGCATCATCCGAAGAGGGCAGATCGGTGGAAGGAGTACCACCGCACGGAGGCGGATCGGGATTAGCTTCACTTATATGGGGCTGGATCTCGCGGGGGGGGGGGGGGACTCAACATCATCATTCGCAGGGGCTCACGCAAAAGGAGGTGCCCCCCCCCCCGAAATCATAGGAGCTTCACCCTGGCGGGGCGCACCCGAGTTAGAGGGGGAGGCGACCGACCCGACAGGCGAGGAGGGAAGGAGAATGGGCGGGCGAATGAACTCCCCAAAGTTGGGCTCCTCGGCCCAATGGTCCACTTCGTCCTCGTCTTGACCTCCGAATTGGCAAGCCATCCCAGCGCTCATGGCCCTCGTGGTCCTCAGCCCC